TCAGAACGAAACATTTAGAATTATTTCAGTGTATGACATATATTATGGGAAAGGATCTTTTTTAATTTAAGTTGCATGTAAACAAACCTCCCCTGTCCTTAAAGCTCCCAGTTTGGGTAGAGTCCAATAGGACCACAAGTAGCTTTGTGTTCCAAAGCTTCACCAGCTATCTTTCAAAGTGACTGCAGTAACTAGGCTGAAACATCTGACTTTACTGTGCGTGTGTGGGGTCTCTGGACTTGTCAGTGTTTTGACATGTGGTGGTAATGATTTAACTTTCTTGCAGCTTATCCACACTCTGAAAGAAAGCAGTCTGCATGAGGTTCCCACAGCTGTAAGTATCAACTTCTAAGAATGTGAAGCCCAGTTAATTTTGAATGGTGTAGAAGTTGATGTAGCATGGTAGATGAATAAAGACCTTTTATCCTGCAGGTCCACTGTCTGAGTGTGGTCAATGATGATTCAGTGATTCGGTTCGACTGATGTTAACTGAAGTTTACTCGCAGCGCACTGAGACCTCAGACTGTTGGAAGAATTTGTGGAAGACAAATACTGGCTATGAAATAAATCACCATTTCTATCTTGTCAGATAAGCCTGTGGAAGCCCAACCTGGATTACATCTGGACACAATGAAAGGACCCGGTTGGTACTGATGGAACAGTGTTTCTCCTTACAGACTATGATTTGTGAATGATGCTAAAGTTCTGAGACTGTAACCCTAAAATTTAATATACTTTCACAGGTGCTGCAACTTGAGTTGGGACTAATACAAAGACCAACATCATGAAGTCTTCCAGGAAATGGATGCGTCATTTAAATGAGTTGGCCTCTGGGCAACGGCTCTTGAAGAGGAGTTTCCTGTATTGTTTGTGCAAGCTGTTAAAATAGTTTTAACCATTAAAATGCAAATGTATTTAAGGAAATGTCAAATAAATGGTTGACAAAGACTCCAGGTGTCTTCAGTGGTGGAAGTTTGACTACAATATGATCACAAAAACTAATGCAGCTTTAGGACAATGTGTTGCACTTTCTGATGAAGTGAATTTAGATTATCACTGCTAGTTGTATTGTAGATTTTGATCAATAATTTCTGCAGATTAAATGAGAAAGCTGTTGGAAAGAAGAACTAAATGAATAAAATTCTGTAATTGTGTGTGTATATAATGCATCCAATGTACATGATACTAATTTGAAATGGAGGAGTTGGTGTAATGTATTTTGCTTATGGTACAATTTACCATAAGAGTGTGTGGGTAACTATATTGGTTGGTCTGCATGGAACTTTACTGACTTGTAATTTAGGCCAGAACAGTTGCATAAAGTGGCCTGCTTCACTGTAACCACCAGATTGCACGTTTCCAAGAGCTTAACCTATGCATACAGTTTGAAACTACAGCCATGTGATAGACATACTGTACTTGATCATTTGACTGTGCTGCAGAGGTAAGGTAGCTAATACAGGTGGTGAAATGTATACATTTACAAATCTGAGGTATTTGTTGCGTTAAAACAAATTAACTTAAATCCTTATGACAACATTTGAGACAGTTATAACATCAGCCTTCATGTTCAGTGAAAAAAGGAAAATAAAAAGTAAGACCATGTATTAATTTCTAATGCCACTTTTAGATACGTTTAGACTCAATGTACTAATGTGCCACAGTGTTTGATTATCTTGATCTTCATTTGGGGGCTTTACTAAGCAAATATTGACTTGTAATTGTGATTAAATTAGCATATATTTCTCCCACCCCTTGAAGACTCCATAGAAGAACAACTAGCAGATGAATCCATAATGATAAAAAGAATAGTTAACATCCACCTCAACCAAGTACAAGATAACAATGCTGCTTAAACATTAATGAATGAATAAGTAATTTAATGACAGATGCCCATAGTGGTCATTTCTCTTCTGCGTTGAGTTTTTTTTACTTTGAGTATGTACTGTAAGTATGTTTTCCTGATATTTCATTTGTAATTTTACCAAGTAATATACTCAATGTAGGACCTTTAATTGTAGTATATAGTATAGTATAGTATTTTTACTATTCTCAATTTTTATAAAAACAATTTTTTGTCTTATTCACTGCTTCCGGCCATGTAAGATAACGTTACAGCGAAAGTACTGTATAAATTGTATGTATTATTATAAGTTTATTATTACATCCTACACTCGGAATAAATGCTAGTAGTCTTTGTGTGTAACAAGTGATGTGTTTAAAGGACAAATCCCAGTACACAAGTCTTATAATATTATATTAGCATGAACTGCAGGTGGTCAACCGTGGTTTTATTTTGAAGGGTACAACTGAACCGGTAGTCCGTGTTCTTTGTTCTTGTAGTTAGGTAGACGTTTGAGTCGAGCTGGCAAGCGGACCTGTCCCTTGGTTTTTTTGCTGGTTAGCAGTGCTGTTAGCCAGTTAGCTCCGACTGGAAGTTGCCTTGATTAACACGTTGGTGTGTTTATAACACGGCGTCGAAAAGTTTAAGAAGTTGTCTGTGTCGTGTTATTTGATGCTAACAAATTGGGCTAGCTATGGCCTGACAAACTCAAGCTAACGTCGCTGTAGGTGAGCAGGTAGCAGCAGCAGAAGGTAAATACAGACTCTCTTAAGTGTTTTTTCTACATTTGTTTAAGCTGACGTTCGAGCCAATCTTAGTTCCTAGTAAAAACCTGCAGGTTAGTTAGCTGAGACAACTATGGAGACCTGTGTAACATTAGCCAACTTGCATTGATGTTGACGTGGAATTTGGAAGAAAGATGTAATGTTTAAACCAAGTGTTTCCTTTTATTTGCAGGTTTGGTGAGTGAAGCAGCGTGTTTCAGGAGACTGGAATAGTTAAAGAAGTTTGTCAACGAGCTGAAACCTTGGTCAACTCAACCTGCTCACTTGTAGTTAGCCGGTGCTAATTTGCTTATAAGCGTATCTGAAGAGAATGTTAAGTTATTAAAAGCAACCTCCAAATGTTTACAGCTTAAACCAGAGACATGTAGAAGATAAGATTGACTTATAAATGTTGTCATTTTATCAAGGGCATTGTTAGGAGGGTTTTTTTTTAACTGCTCAAACACACCCAAAGGTGTGTCTCTGGCCTGAGGACGTCACTTTGCCCAGGTCTGAGTCCTTGTGAACAAGTATTACAACATTACAACTAAATTGTCAGTACATGCATGCTTTTACAGTAAGCTCACAGAGCAGCCTGGCCAACTTAAGCAAGAAGAGTTGAGAACCCAGTGTCTGCTGATTTTAATTCAACTCCAGAAGGCTGAGTGAGAAAGCATGACAGCTGTGGTGGGCAGAGCTTGGGGGTGGTTGTGCTCTTGGGGCAGGAGTCCAGTGTCAGAGAATACCACAACTGTGATAGCCAAGGGCCAGGACCATGGCTGTAGAGGCCGGGCCATCAAGGGGTGGACCTCTTGGATCTGGGGAGGGTGGAGACGTCAAAGTGACCAAAGTAGTTTAGCAGAGGAGTTCTGGGAGGCGCAGGAAAAGCTTCAGCCAATGGAAATTGAAGGTCTGGGTGCAGGGAAACAGGAGACAGAGCAAGTTTCTAGATGGTGGGAATATCTGCCAATTTCTTACCTTTCGTGGCCAAGAAAGGCAGAGAAAGGTGGACAAACACGAAGGAAACGTGATGGTCGCAGTGGAGATGTGTGGGACTGTGATATTGATGGGGACTTTTCCGACTATGGAACCCCTCCTCCATCTCCTACACCTCCCTCCTGTTCGCTGACTTCTCCTTTTCGACTCTTTGCGCACAGCTGGAAGGTGGAAATCCTCCCAGAGCACAATGAGATCTGTTTCAACTTCCTCCGCCACTTGTTTGACCTGTTTGTAGTTGGCTTCCTGTGGACTGTGTCCCCCCCTACAAAACTGATCTTGGAGGTGTTGGGAGTCCAGGGAGCACTGAGGCTGTGGTTTCATGGTATGGCCATGTTTTTTGTTTCCACGGTTGGAATGGCAGGATTACTGTGGTTGGTCCAGGAGTATCTCCCTCAGTTTGCTCTGATCTATGGCATCATACAGGCACTGGTCATCTCTGTCAGCGTTCGACAAAGTGTGATCCTCAGCGTAGAGGAAGAAAAAGAAGATGAGGATGAGGAGGGCAAGGAGACTGATGAAGTGAAAGACAGTAGGGAACATGAAGAACAGCTTGTGTCTATGAAGGACAAAGTGAAGACCAGTTAAATTTAAGGTAAGTTTCTTCATTCCTCTCATGTGATGTTTAGGTTACATTTTACAACATCTCCAATGGGTTATATTAGTGTTTGTTTTTTTTCTATTAGGGCTGCAAAAAGCCAAATTGCAAGACACTGCAATGTTTTGATAAAGGTAAAATGTGTGACAGCAGCATTATAATGTAGTACTATAGTACTGCAGAGATGCCCTGACCTACAAATCTTGTTCTACAGATGTAAGAAAAACATTTTCTTTGGTCACATCATCATGATTCTAGTAGTATTTTCAGTAAAATTGAAAATGGAAATTGGGATGCAAAAATGATCAATAAGAATTATCAACATCTGTCAAAGATATGAATTGAATTGGAACTCTCAAATGAAAAATCACTATTTACATCACTATGAAAAACTGCTAAACAGCAGCACCAGGTGACAAGATAGGCAGTTGAAGTTGTAGCATTGTCACTGCAGGTAGTTTAGCTCAGTTAGGCTTTAACCAAGTTAAGTGTACATCTTGACTTTGATGAAGTGAAGTGAAGGTCTGACATCAGAGATAAAAAATAAATAACACTGTGTACCAACCAACCAACAATTAACCAACAGACCTCACCTGAAGTTAACAAAACCATGTTGTTAATCCATTTCAAAGGGATCAGAGGTAAAGGTGCAAAAGAAAGGTGCAGTTTGACTGAATGTGTTGCATCAGCAAGGTTCTCCAATAGAACAGCTGTCATTATGATCGACCATTACACATGGCTGTGGCTGTTTATAGCCCATACCACTAATTCACTGGTTCCCATCTACAGTATAGACAGTTATGGAGCAACTAAAAGCTGTGTAGACTGCAAAATGATAGTAAATAATAGCAAAAAACGTGTTTGATTTACTTTTTTTTATTATAATGTAACGTTTAGGAGGATCTATTGTCAGAAATTGAATATAATATTCATAGGTGTGTTTTCATTAGTGTACAATCACCTGATAATAAGAATCATTGTGTTTTTGTTATCTTAGAATGAGCTGTGGGTCACCTTTCATGGAGTCTGCCATGTTTCTACTGTAGCCAAGAAGGGACAAACCATAAACACTCGTACTGTTCAAATCTTAAAAAGTGAAGAAAAATCCAAATCCAAAGCGTGTGTGGAGAAAGAATACGTACCCTGTTTGCAATGAGCAATGATCTATTTTTAACATTGTGCAGGGTGCTCAGTTTTCCAGACATTCAGTGGCACTGCATCAACATCTGTACGCCACCACTGGTCAGAGTAGTGTGTTTTCCAGATGTTTATTAAGAGATGTGTGTCTTTTCCACAGATGGGGAGAAGCAGCTGTCTATTCAGGAGTCTACCAACATCAGTCCACTTGTATCAGACTTCCTCCAAGTGTTTGACATCACAGCAGTGGGACTATACAGAGACTGTTTCACTGCACCACTGTGTTCTGCAGGGTGACTATTGAATTGTATTGCACACATTACCAATGCATAGTTTTACCTTTGTCACTTTATGTTTAACACTATTGATCTGCATTTTATAGAGGTCTGCCCTCACTTGTTCTTAATATGGTGGAACTGCTAACTGTGGTGTCGGTCTGTTTCACCACCATCTTACTCACTTAAGGTTAGAGTGCAACCGATTTATCAGTCAGCCGATATTATCGCAGATATATCAGTATGGTATCGGTGTACATGTTTTCCAATTTACACCGATATGAAATTGGTTTTAGTGTTGGTAATATATTGGTGTCACTGCAAAGTCTATCCAGCAGAGTGCACTGTAATTTACAATACTGTGGCGAGCAGCACAGAGTAAGAGAGAAGAAGCAGCTCTCAGCAATGTCAACTAGAATTGGTTGACAATATATATGTTAAATTATTTAAGGCAAGTTTTACTTTACTATCTTTAGCTTTACTATCCATCAGGAAACTGTTAATTGCAGAGAATTGAGGCAGAGCAGCCAGAGGACACCAGAGAAAACATTTTCTCCATAAAATGAAAAGTGATGATCCAGTTTCACTAAAATCAATGACATAGTGCAAGATACAGGAGTATGGAGCGCAGAGTGGGAATGACAGAGGCACCATTCACCCTGTTACAACTCAAAATTAAGTTTATAATAATTAATTGATAATTAATAATTGTAATAGTAATTACATAATGTTCTTTTAACATGTTAAAGAATATTTAACTTAAGATTCGGCTGGATGAACTTTGCAAGAATAATTAACATAAATATTCTTTAAAGTTAATTGTTTAAGAAAGCAGCATGAGTTCCTTTGCAGTAATATCAGTGCATAATCAGTTATATTTTCATTTCAGCTCAAAAACCCAGTATATCAGCCACCAGTATCAGTAATCTGTACATTTTTCCCCCTCTAAATTTGATATTGGTCAGACTTTTATTTGTGGTATAGTCACATTACACGTCTCCCCTGTGTCATCACCAAGTTTTCTACAATTGCATGCTTGTGGAGTACTAGCTGCAGTATCGCGCTGCTTACAATCTGTGATTGTGCTGCTTACTTAATAATATATATTACATCAGACCTGTGGGATCACATTCCTTTCTGGGTGTAAGGTAATTTTGTTGCGTGCCTTTACTGGTCAAGGGGGGAGGCATCCTGGGAGGAGGGACGAGCAAGTAGCAACCACCACTGCTGACCTATAGGTTTAGACACTTGTACATCAAGCTCAGACACTACAAAATATACTGTGTGGAAGCCATAAGACCTCCTCAACTCCCTGTGACCTCAAATTTTGATTCCTCAAGATTAAATATATTTAGAGACCAAATTGAATGTTTTTTTTTCTTTCTTTTTGGTCAAATAATCATCAATAGCCAAAAAGGAAGTGTGTTCAGCACTCAGCTGTGATGGTTGCTGCTGGTTTACTATAAACCATCAAACTTAATTCATTACCTCTGATGAATCTGTTTGAAACTTCCTAAAAACCGTACCACATACAATACATTACATTAAGATTCCACAAATATGAACTCTTCAAGAACATCCTTGTTGTTTGTTGTAGGAGTTATCAGTTGACACGATACCAGCAGCACATTGTAATATGTTGCCTTATGTCATTTTCTGTGCCATGATATTGCTTGTTTGAAACTTTTTTATTGGGAATGTAGGCCACACTCCTTGTCCACAGGTATGTGTTTTTATAGATTTTTACTGTTATGCTTTAGATTTACAACAATCCTTACCCATATCACAGCCTGTAAGATGTGATATTGAAAGGTCCCGTGTGTAACATTTAG